GAGACCAGCCCCGCCGTTTTCTCTCCATCCATGAACTTGACAGCCTTAAAGGACATCGTCTCGAACGTACGGACGGGGACGAACTCTACCTGGAACCTGATCTTGAGATCCTGAGCGAACTGGGAGAGGTTCTCCTTGACCAGCCGGGTTTCGCCTGCGTACTCCTCGGGCACGACAGCGGTGATGCGGAGCACCTGTGGGACTGGGCTGGTTCGGCCAGCCACGTCAGCTTTCTCAGCGAGCTCTTTCATCAGGGAAGCGTACTGGCCGCCGAAGCCGATGTCGAAGTCGACGACGTGGATGAAGGCGGAGCAGCTGAGGCCTTCCAGGAGGGCTTGGTTGGTCGTGAAGTGGGAGAACATTGGGACTGGTGAAATTCCACAAAAGACCTTGTAGGCGCGGATGGTCTGGACGATTTCGGACCAGGACGAGAGCTGATTGTGAGCCGCTGAATCTGAGCCGTTGAGGATGGACTGGAGGGCGTCCCTGAAATAAACCGCCGCACGCTGGAGCGGTTTCCCGACGGGTTTCGACGGGGAGGAAGATCGTAGCCGTTGGTTCAGGCGGTCCAGGATCCCCTGGGCGAGCTGCAACTCGTCCGAGTCGAAACAGTCCGCTGCGCGGATTAATTCCTCAATGAAATCAAACCCGACGTTCCAATTTCCCGGCTGATGGTCGTAAAAATTGTGGGTGGCGTTAGTGAAATTCTGGGTGGAGTATACTTCGGAGAGATTGATGTTGAAATCGGAGTGGACCAGCTGGGTCGGGTCGAACGGCTGGGGATGTGGGTAGTCGGAAAGATGAGAAATTTGTGAGTCGGTGGAGTTCAATTGCGGAATTGAAGTCTTCAAGTTGGGAACAGAGTCGTCGTGCAGGCCCAAGTCTCTCATGATCGAGTCCCAGTCCAGATTGTGCAGGGCCTGCTCGTCCCACTCAAGAGGGTCATGGTGATTTGAGTGAGACAGGACGTCTGAAACCGCTGAAATTTTTGCTGGTTTTTGCTCTGCCACCGGGCTGGGGCTGTGGCACAGGTCAAGAACCGACGTGGGTTCGTAGCACAAGTTTTGGATATTGAGATTGGCAGGAAAATTGAGGCCTCGGTTGGTTTGGTTGGTGTTTGTGTTTGTGTTGTTGTTGCAAGATTCAAGTTTTGGGTTGGTTTGTGGAGAGGAAACGGGTACTCTCATGGCTTAGCAAGAAAGCTCTGTTTGCTCTGTGAGCTGCTGCTCTGTTTTTGGGTGCTGGAAACGAAAGAGGGAGATGAGGTTGAAGAAGAGGTGAGGGGGCTTTTGGATGTGATGATTGCTGGCTTTTTATCTTTGCGTGTGTGCATGGTGGTTGGTGCTTGCTTGTATTAATATGTCATACATGACAGACATGGATGACGAGGGTCAGAGGAGGCTTTTAATCTCTTTGAGGCTTCTTGCTCAAGTCTTCCATGGCGATTTGCTTTTTGAGTTTCTGTGTCTTTGTTTGATTCGCTGCCTAATTCGCTTTTCGTTAACTCTCACTCAGCCCATGCAAAGCACTGAACTCAACCCATCTAGTGTTGCTTGATTTTCAGAAGGATGGCACAGGCAAAACTTTAATCACTCAAACCAGTGAAGTGAGCGGTTGGCTAGCTACTTACATGCACCAATCAACGATTGGCTTCAACGGGGAAAGTTTAGGTTTCCATGCACTATATTTTCCTCATCATATTCCTCACCAAAATTTTATATTTTTTTATTTATTTTAATTTGAGGTATCTATCTTAATGTGTGAGTGGATTCCACTTATGAAATAAATGTGATTAACAATATAATGAGCAGATTCAAACTCCGAATTTATTTATTTTGTTATAAGTTTATTATTGGTGATAACTTTTAAAATAAGAAAATCACATATAAAAACACCACGTGGAGTAGACGGTTGGAAGTCACGCGCGCTCATACTGACCATGCCTAATATCGCTCCATTTTTCAGTCCTAATTGTGTTTTGGTTAATGTCATGCATCCTTTTCCTTTTTCGTCTTGAATCTGTTAAAATGGGTAAAGGTGAAAAACGGTCACTCGCAATGCCTTCACATCATCTGTACAAAATTCCAAAGCCTTTGCATATAGGAAGACTTCTCAATTCGTTTCAAGTCTTCAACGTAAAACGACAAATAAGTCAAACTATTGGTGGCGTTAAAGCTCCAAAGTTGTGTTTCCCCCAAACTCTTCCGAGGAGAGGACCCACAAAAGCTCTTACTAAAATCACCCCCCCTTACCTTTACTTATCCCACTTTGAGAAAAGCTTAGAAAAAGAACCATCATTAAATCTTTGAGAGGGCCGCGGATACTGGCTCACTCTCCCACATCGGAAGTTGGCAAAGTACCAATTAAAACCTAATTAGAGTATAATTAACTCCCTCTTTATGTTAGGTTTAATACCCTAAACTAGCATTAATTTGTACTCTTCTTAATTTACTTAATTAATCAAAGAACAAACTGTCGACGTACTCTAGAAATGAAGCAACGTTCACACTTGTTGACGTTGAGGAGGGACCCAAAGGCCAAAGGGATGGACCCTACATGCAAACACTCCAGCGTAGATTGATTGGGCACAGGCGAGGGACCCACAGGACCCACAAGTAGGAGCCACTAGGGTTGCCTTTTGTCGGACATGCATGGTTTTGCATGGGCATGCACCACAGCAGCGTAGAAACCAGGCCCACGTAGGATTGCTTTGGCCAATTGCCATTGGCGGCGACCAGAAAGAGAGAATATGTTCCTTCCAAGAATTTCCAATATGGTGAGAGAGAGAGGGAGAGAGATTGCAATCACCGATTGATTGATGCAAATCCTTCCGTCCATTTACGTACCAAAGAGCAAGTTAACACACAAGATCTAGCGATGCATATTTTCTGCACCTTTTGTTTTGGTAATGGGTGCGATGGGTGGGAGGAACTTTACTATTGGAAAAGTTTTTGCCCACCCCAGAAAGATGGGTCGAGTCTTTTTGCTAGAGGCCTATAAACAAAAGTATTTTAGTACTAATTTTATAATGAGCTAAAGCACTTAAGTCCTAATCAAGCTGATTATCATGTGTTTAATTCCAAAGCCAAAAAGAAGGAGAGGAAAAGAAAGGGTTTGTGTTAAATTGCCAATTCTTTGAGTTTTTCTGTGCTCTTTTTTTTGTCGTTTAATAATGTAAACACTATGAAAGGATGATATAGGATCCTATGCAACTACATTCAAGAAAAAAATTAATTGCATTTTGATCTCTGAATTTAAAATGAGGGATTTGAATTTCATTTTTTATTGCATTCTGTTGCATGATAAATAAAAAAAAATTTCTCTCGAAGTTAGGAAGGAGAAAGGGATTTCTCACACACACATTACCAATAAGGTCTCATGGGGTTCAAATTTAAAATCACTAAACTGCAAATTAAATTCACCGTCTAAACCACTTGTCTATATAGAGTTTTCTTTTTAATTTTTAACACGTATCAAACATAGTCTCTTTTTGAATAGTTTCTTTTAACATTCCATTAAAAACTTTAAATTGTATGGTCAAATATAAGTTTCTCATTTTAAATCCAGTTATAAAAAATAAAAATAAAAGAGCTTTATATTTTTTTTTTCTTTTCCTTTCTTTTAATTTCAGAACGGAGAAGATGACAAAACTAAAAAGAAAAGATAAATAGATGGTAAAGGACAGAATACGTTGCGGTAGAAAAAACAGAAAGAATACGACAAATCCTAATGTCATTGTAGTTTGTATTAATTAACCCTTTTTTTTAATGGACATTTCTTTTTGCAAATTGACAAGTATAGATGTTGCAGATTGATTTGAGCTTTGATGATTTTATATACCATTAACTACTAAGGCATCCTCGTCCATTCTTTTAGAATATAATAAAATAATGCAACTGACGGCATCGATGAAGAGTTACAAAATAATTCAACTATATATCTACAGAGACTTTCGACAATAATGATAAGCATATTTTTCCTAATAATACAAAGGAAAACATCAGCAGATGATTCCATTATGGGTAGGATATGGAAGATCCAAGGTTTGCTTAACATGATCTCTTAAATCCTTATAGTCAAAATTCTTCTATTAATAAACTATCAATATTGTTATAGACGTTGGGATTAAATTTCTCACTATCCTAAACTCCGTTCGTGCATATACGCGAGGATTCACGAGTTGTTTATATGTATTCAAGATTTACTTAATGCTTTTAAGTGGGCGAAAAGAATTTTTCCTGTGACCTAAAAATAGTTTAATATTGCAAAGCAGTATGAAAATGGAGTTTTCTGTAGCCAATACTTATCAATGGATGTAGAAAAGTACTTACTTAAGAATTAAGGTTTCTTATAATTGAGTACACGGGGCACACACGGTGGGAGAGGGAAGCTTGAAGCACACAAAAGAGAGAGAGACAGAGAGAAAGAGAGAGGAGGTGATGGGAATTGAGGGGGGGTTGAGATTCTGATTTAAATCATTCATATAAAGATGGTCTCACTAGTCCATTCACCCACTCTCCAAAAGAAAATAAAAGGCAAAGGGTGATGGGGAGAGAGAGAGAGAGAGAGAGAGAGAGAGAGAG